GAGAGGGGGAGAGAGGGAAAGGGGAGAGGGAGAGGGGGTGACGCTCGAATGCTCGCATTAATGCTCGGCTGCCTTTCACCGTCTACAGTTTTGGTTCGCGCCTGTCCGATATCACGGGGGCGTTGTGAAGTGGAGGGAGAGGGCGCGGGTTTGGAGAGGGTGACTTGAAATGCCCTCCTCCTCCTCCTCCTCCTCCTCCTCCGACCTTTCGCGCCGTCCGTCCCCCACCCCACCACCGCAGCACGCGGCGCTTTTCAGACGTCCAGATAGCAGACGGGGATGAGCAAATCCACATCATTAATCCTCCGTGTTCCTCTGCCGCCGTGCCCGCCTCGACCCTCTCCCTCTCTCCCTCCCCCCTCCTTCATCTCGCTCGATTCCGGTCGCTTCCTCTCTCTCCCTTGCCCCCCCCCCCTTTTACCGACCCTGAGTACATTTGCTTACATTAGAGCTGTAACAAACAGCTCAGTTTGACGGGTATTCTCCCCTTCTCTTCGCCTCCCTCCGCCAGTGAAACGCCAACGCCACCGCGTCGTGCCCGTTTCGGTTTGGGTTTTCGAGTCTCCTCGGCTCTCCTCGGCTAGCAGAAGCCCTTAAGAAAGCTGGAAAACTAGATTAAAAGACTAAGATAAAAATGAAACAAAAGAAAAGTTGCTGATTCTAAAATTCACGATTTACGTTTGTTTGTGTTCCACAGGCGGCAGAACAATAGGAGGCACGGGTCTTCGGTCGAAACACCACCAAATAAAAAGTAAGTGAGTTCATGACGACTGCCGTTCGCTCTGTTCCCCTGGGGGACGTCCCTCTGGACTAGAGAACTAGTTCGGGTCGGGTCGGTTTGGGCCGGAACCGGGATAACGGTGTGCCAGGCGCGTAAACCTATTGGCCGGGCCCCGGGACGGGTCCATTTCGCCCACATCAGGACCAGGGCCATGGCCATGGTCCTGCAGGACCCGGATAGGGACAGAGGACACCGCCCTAAGAGGTGCCCGGATCCGAATCACCAAGCCCACAACCCCGAAAACTACGTTCTTAATTTAGAGATTTGCTCGGATTTGCCTTAAATAGACAAATGTTCATCAACCTCTATTTAAGCTCCGATCAAGTACTTTTTATTAACTTAAAGACATTGTTCTCAAAAATTTAAAAGTCCTGTACTTGAATTGAGAGCAATTTTTTTTTTCGTTGCTGTGACTTTATCGCCTATGACTTTTACGACCCGCGCAACGTCAGTTTTAGCAACTCTGTTTTTTTTTCTTTTTTTGAACGACTCTGAACGACAACATGAATAACAGCATTCGCGCTGCAATTTTCAATAAGTGGCGTCGTTGCACGCGCCGCGCTGCTGCCGGGGCTGTGGAGCGTGTACGTCACCCAGCGCTCATCCGTCGCCAACACACCAGGAGGGGATGGGAGGGGAGGGGAAGGGGACACGCATTCCGCAGCCGGACCCTCAGTATGCAGCGGGCGTCGAGTAAGGGCGGGCGCGGGGGCGGGGGTTGTTTGTGTGGGACGAGAGAGAGAGAGAGAGAGGGGGGGGGGCAGGCTTTCCATCCCACTGAACGCTTGCGAATGAGGCGGAGTCTGAGGAGGGGGCGCGGGGAAGGGTGGAGGAGGAGAGGATGAGGAAGGATGCTGGATAAGGAGCCCTGGCGCTGGCGCGCGCAGAGCGGCGCAGAGCCGGAGACTGCAAGGACTCCCCGCCGGGAGGGGAGATACACCCTTGCGAGTTATATTGGCCTTCGGTTCAGGGACAACAGGATGTCGTGGAGCTGGCGGGGGATGGTGGTGCGGTCAGAGCGGCCCGAGTGACTAAAGGCTGAGAGGAAAACGCAAAAAAAAAAAAAAAAGAAACTGAGTGGATTTTTTCACCAGCTTGTTCGACTGAACTTGAACGCCCTGAACAAGAAAATGGATGAATTAATGCACCTTGCCTTTTACTTTGGCCGCCTTGTGTTGAAGAGCGGCGGGTACCTTCGATTTCCTGTGAGGGGCGGAGCAAGGCGACTACCTGACGGCGCCGCCGGGCGACGACCAGACGGCAAGGGGGCGCATTCGCGTCACGTTTGCCTGTAAGCTGAGGGCCCCCCCAGCGGGGTGCTCTCGCGGCCGGGGCCTGGGCGGGCGCCCCCCGCGCGGGGAAGGTCTCCGTCGAGCGCCCGGGGCCCTGATTGTTTTATTATTTATCGCACACACACAGCGATCATTGCCCCTGCAGAGGGTGGGCCGGGGCTCTTGGCCCGCGGCCCGACGGAGCCGGGAAATGTTAAAAATCGGACAGAAAACCCTTGCGATTAAAAAAGCTCACCGGTTCTTACCAAAATTTTGGAGGTGAAAGGTTGGTGCAGACTTGTCCAAGCAGCGGCTGTGGTTCGGAAGCAGAACTTCACTTCTTGAGAGACAAAAAACAATTGTGCCTCTTTATTTAGAGTGCCGTGTGCCTAGCCTACTGACGGGGAGCGCCTGCCAGGCCCGGGGTAGGCTGCCCGCCGTGCGCGGCTGTGCGGCGGGCCGGCCCACCCGGCGGGCGCTCCGAGGCCCTCCCTCCACCACCCAACCTAGTGCTCTGCATCTCAAGTGTGCACTTAAATGCGGTAATTACTGAATGCCCTATAAAAAAGACTGATCGCCGAAGTGTTGTAGGAGACGCTGATTACCTTTGCCAGGCACACACTTCAGCGATCAGTCTTGATTGGGTATAGGGTTTTACTTTCTGAGGCAAAGCAGGGTAGCGAATAACGTAAAATGATTTGAGGAAAGTGAAGAGTTACGTGGCGAAGGTTTTTCAGTCCGGGCAGGGAGCGAGAGATTTCAGCACCAAAATGCGAGACAACGTCAATGTATTAGAATAATGTTGTCTGCCCACAATATTTTTTGGCGCGATCTAAAACTATTTACTCCCACTGTAAGTTTTGTTGGAAACAGCAAAGGCAGTACAGAAGCACCCAGCTGGCGTGCCGTGCCCCCCTCCCCCCACCCCCTTTCCCTCGGGCTGATTAATACAGAGTGTTTCCCCTCCTCCCCCGGGCTGGTAAAACATTTGTGCCCGGCGCGCGTGGCGCGCGTTTGGCGCGCACGACGGGGGTGGGCATAGGGACAACATCAGACCCATTAAAATTATCCCGTATAACTTGTAAAACGTTTCGTTGAAAAGCAGGTCGGGTAAGTTGCAAAACGCATACCATAGGCGCGCGCGGGCGGATGGTTCATATCTTTCACTCCCTCTCTCTCTCTTTCTCTCTCTCGCCGTTGAACGTGACGTGGATGTGGCTACACTGCTCCGTGCCGCGGACCGCTCGTTCCGCCCATCGAGCGCGAAGCGCACGGAATACACATTTTGTGTCGATGACCTGATTCGTTTGCACGCAGAGACTAATTGAATTCCCCCCCC